TGCAATTATGTAGTAAAAACTGCAGAGAATTCGTCGTTAAACGAAACGCTGACAATCATAGAACTTCAATGAGTTAAAGTAATCTATAACATTTCGAAGTAGGTTTTATTTAATTGGACCTCTATGTTGTGACAGCGATGCGTTCAACCAGTGCGCGCTGTTTATAACAGAATAGCACTACTGCTCCTATATTTACCCAACAGCTATTGAATTAAACTACGACTAACTATATATCGTTTATTAACACCACTACAGTCACTACACAGGTTCGTTAAAACTAATCCTATACGTTAGATGCAATAGGATTTGTTCCGCCCGTTATGACTTGCCCCGGTAGTCAGATTACGTAGTGACGTCATTTCCCTGAATATTTGATTGGCAAAATCTATATAGGTTTGACTGCATTGCTAACTGGGCACCGTAAATACATGTGCGGGAGACGAAGATCGTTTTGTACACGATATTAGCTTATCGATTAACGTTTTAATTTAAATAGGTATAGTATCAAATAGAACGACACCACAGATCGCAAACATTAGTCAAAGATTCCAAATAGAAAGTCTTCGTGATATGCATAGGAACCACGCAGAAACCGCAACACGCGGACTCGAACAATATAGAAAGTATCTAACCCTAGACCTCAGGGATAGACTCCAAAATTTTTGTAAAGCGTATGACGGAAGGTTGAACCCCAGACAGTTGTCTAGACCACAGCCATGTAAGTTTTACGACCTGAAGGCCTTTTCTGTTTGTCTTTGAAACAAAAATTCGGAAAATTTCGCTTCTTTATTAAAATTCAATGCATTTTTAATTATAGATAAAAAAAAATCATGCTTTTATAGTGCATAGTGATAATATTGATGTTTTTATATAATATCGTAGATAACACTAAAGATATTAAATATCTAAGTAAATAAAAAATATTTATCGTAGTGAAAGTATTTGAATAGGAGATTTTGATTGAAAATGAAAGACATTTTTTTTCCAATAATCTATCCATTCATATTATAAAATTGCTTGTTTGTTCGCATTCGATTGGCCTCGCAAGTATTGGACCGATTTATAGCAGTCTTATATCTACGGGAAGCAACATAATATGCGGCGCACATAGGCTATAATTTACGCAGGCGAAGTCGCGGGGAAACAGCTAGTTTGATAGATATTGGTTCACAATTTATGAGGAAATCGATGAATAGCACTACCCCTATATATATGCTTTACTCATTGATACCTATCTCCTATGACTTTCATAAAAAATATTACATCAAAGAATAATGTATACATACTCGTTGAGCATAGAGATCTCCCTTTCAGATTTTGAATGAATTCTACATACGCAATCTTTTGTTTTTAACTGCAATGGGCCATAACATATTATCTTAATATTTAGGTGACATCTGTTGGAAGGCATATTTTGTTTTGTTATAAAAGGAAAACTGCTAATTCGATTTCGATAAAATTAAATGGGACCAGCTCAATTTATTAAGCTGTCGAATAAAAAAAAAGTATTTCGTAATCGGTCCACAGGTGACGAAAATGTCGGTGAACACAAATAAAAAAAACATACATAGCCATCGAACACATAACCTCCTCCTTCTAAATTTTGAAGTCGATAAAAAAATGAGTTTCTTTGGAGTCATATTAGTGTTTATAATATTATATATAACATGAAATCGGCCCTTGGAGCCTTCATCGGAGCCTTGAAGTTATCATCAATGCTTTAATTATGATCAAATAAATAATATATAGTATATTTAGGTACTAGCTACAAGATTATTAAGAAATATTATAGAGAAAAGATATATAGAACGTAGCTAATGGTTTGTTAAGCTTTTAACAAATAAGGCCAGCATTTTAATCCGATTAAAAATGCTTGAATAAAAACAATTTTAGTTGTGCATTACCTATTTCCCTTTCCGAGTTTTCAGAATATGGAAATGGTCAAAGCTCTAATCTAAGAGAAATAGGGTAAACTAAAGATTTTATTGTTTATTTGTAACGAAATAACGCCGAAAATACTAAACCGATTTTAAAAATTCTTTCACCTGCTAGAAGCTTCATTTATATTTAGGAAAAATAAAGGAATGAAAATGAGAGTTGAACTTTGTATAGGGAATTAAAACGTTATCATAGTATCCATTGTTTATCATTCAATTTGTCATTTTAATTATATCCGCGTCATGGTATGACTCGATGTCCAAATAAACAGTCCCCTAGGGAGGTTACACGCGGGTGAAGCCACTGGCGGAAAGCTAGTCAATTATAAGACGTATAAAACTTCGATTTAACACAATTAAAAATATATGACACAGATTTTTCATTCTTAATTGTGGTTATCGTTCCCCTATTTTGCAGTGTTCTGTTTAATCCACTTTCGCCATCTTATCTTAAGGCACGTTTTAATTTCCTTCATAATACCCACACTCGAGTTTTGGGAACATCAGAGCATTTCACTAAATTTCTTGACATATCTTTTATAGTTCAAGCTGCCCGTCTCTGGAATGCATTGCCCTAAAACATAAGACGTACGCAAACGGTAGATAGTTTCAAAAATCTAGTCAAGGAAGCACTATCTGTAATTGTGAACTTTCACATGGTGTTTATGTATAATAAAGAATTATTCATTCAATAATATCTTATATATCTGTATTTAATAATATCTTATCTGTATTTAATAAAGGTGTTACTACATATATTCACACTCATATATATATACATACATCTTTAGGTATAGCAACTGTTGGACGTAGATCTGTCCTGACAATATAAATCCGCCAATCTGCCTGTCTATCTTGTCTGCCGGTTACACTTTGCCGCTGCATTGATTAAAGTGACATTTTGTATACAGAGATATGAGACCCTGGTAATGACATAAGATAGATTTTGTCCCGGAAACCATCCAAAAGATATTGTAAGGTAAATCTCCATTATTATTGCAGGGGATTTTACATAAATATTACATCGCCAACAAAAGTTAGATAAAGTAAATATATTCTGGAACACAGTAAAAATTAAACAAAGATCTATAGACCTATTAGGTATAACTCAGTAGTTATACGTACAATAATGCATTGACTTCGTTATGATTGACATCGATTCAATCAAAACACTATTGAACGTTCAGATCAGAACTTATTTGATTCACCTCGATGTATTGAACGAATACACTGTATTTATCAATACTTTGAGTGCATTTCGATTGTTTCAATGCCAATCAAAGTCAAAGTCAAAATAATCTTTATTCAAATAGACTTCTTAAAAGTACTTTTGAATCGTCCAACATTTTTTTCCCTACCGCTCGTTCAGGACGTCTTATGGCTGATAAGAAGAACGAGCAAGAAACTCACCAGCTCTAATAGGAGTAATGACATTTACAAAAACCATGTCATGACCAGATCAATACATTATAAATAGAGAGAGAAAAAAACTTTGGTCTTATAATGATAACATAATCATTTAATAATAATGGAAGCAAGATAATTTTTGATATATAATGAATTTAGACATAATAAAATCAATCATTCAATCATTCGAAGTCAATGTAATGATTTTGCGCGGTTGGCCTGCTGTAGTCTTATTCTGCTAAAACGTATTGTCGAAATCAGCGTTGTCGTAGCATCAAAGCATCGTTTAACAAAGTTTTCATTTAAATTCGTTTTTATTTCAATTAAATAAAAACTGCTTCAAATGGTTATGTAAATGTCACCATTCGGTTTAAACTCTAAAACTACGACAGCACTATGGTAAAAGCTGCTTTCGCCGCTTTATTTTATAGCAGGAGCGTGGACTGTTGGTCTGTCAATAAAAGAGAGATAAGTGCGAAAGATTTACTTTTTGAAATACATTATACTTTTACAAATGAAAAATAATATAAAAAATCACTTATCAAAAGAGGATGGCAGAGCTGTCTTTAATCAATAAAGTAGCAAAGTTGGCCTCGTACAAGTTTTTATATTCACATTTTAATGAGTAAGATATAAGTATCGATTATTTATTATATTTGTTAAATTTTGTAGGTAATGAATGGAATCAGCCTTGGCCAATCGAATCTATTATGTTACAATAGAAAGCAGTTGTATGATTTGACACAAAAATGCTGTGCTGTGTCATTGAAAAGCTTTGTCATTGACGAGTTGACCTACAGACCGACAAGACAATTCAATGTAGCTGACATTAGCAGCATTTCCAATTATGGCGATTCATTTTATTAGCTTTTTACAATTTGATCTGTTAGTATTTGTTCTATTTAAGGAAAACCTTTTTTTGGGCAGGTTTTTACCTAAAAATTTTTGATTTTTAAATTGACTACCTACTTTTATGCATTAAGTATGATGTAGCTTCTCGTAGATTAAAGAATTTTCATGATCGGATCAGTATTTACGAAGATTTCCCGCTACATACCTAGTTAGAAACTTTACCTTTTTATAATATTAGTATAGATTATGAACAAAGGAATTAAAATTAAAAATATATAAATAATTCTTGTTCGTGGTAGACCAGTCAACCACAGACATGTTCGAAAGGGTGGTTAAGTGGTAACTCCGAAATAAATGGTTAAAGGTTTTGAAGCTCCATTTTGTGTAATATAATATAATTTGTTGGTATGTTGATTTTATCCCGTTTTTTCTTTGCCTTTATGTGTAGCTTTGCGGTGGACAACAGATGACAGCACGGTATCTTCTTTTTGCTTTTCCCCACCTTTTCCTGCCGCTTTAATCTGCCATTTGCTAGAGTAGGAAAGATAGCAGGTGTGCGATAGGAAGCCGCGGAATTCTCCGGGCCAGGGCTCTGCAACCTGCGGCTCTTTTGAAGTAAACTTGAGGGTATCACGAAAACTGACAATTCCTGAGAAAAGGAACTTGTTCCATTTATAAAAAGAATATTTATAGATTAGAATATTTAAAGTTATTAGTCGTAGGTGAATTTAAAATAAAATAGGAAACATTTTTTTTTCATGGCTGCTGCTTATTACTCTTATGTTTATATTATTTTGTCCACAGGGGGCTGCTCAGCATTCGGTCATTCATGCTTCGGAGGTCACGGCAAGAGATCTGGTGACACTGCTGTTATGGACGTAAGTTTTAAATGATTTAATAATTCAGTGTATTTTTATTCCTAAAAGCATGCTGCTTATTGAGAAGACTGAATAAATGCAATGTTTTAAAATATTATAAATGCATTGTTTTAAAATACACCGGTATTAAAACTAATTTATTTACAATTTAAGAAAGCATCCCTAAGAATCAATGTAAAAATTCGTAAGCCTTTACAAGACTTTAATTACCTACTATTGGATAATACTTGAAGATATTATCCAATACTATTGGATTATTGGTAATTAAAGTTTATTTGAAAATTTGTAAAACTATTATATTAGAAGATATTATGAAAGTTTTGGCCGTTTTCAGATTATGATTTAGTTTTGGCCAGTTTAAGAGTTACGATTAGAAAACTCTTTCAGAATAGTTCTAGTTCTGCCATAATGCAACATTTTAAAAACTGCTCACGCGTAAAGTATGCGTCTATGAGTTAGAAAGAACTCTTTAAAGGACAATGTTTAGCCCCCATACATTTTTCGCCTAAGAACCTCTAAGCATATACTATCACTTTTCGTGTTCTAAAGTATCTGTTTTTACGTCTAAATACATGTTTAAGTAACGGACACTTCTAAGAAATGTATAAATAAAAAAATATATTTTGGATTTGAGGTTATAATTTTAACAATTTTAGCGCGCGGATAGATTCTTTTTAATGTTTGTTTTACTTGCTTTTTGTAGGGAAATGTATGTCTACTTTGCTTTAAATATAGCTAGGTTCTGTAGGTACTTACTAAGCTTGATTTAAAAACAGTTTCGGAGCTTAGATTCCAGGTTAGTGGTTACTGGTTGTTAGAGATAAACTTCACTATCTTATTGCTTACGAAATTAATCTACAAAAGTCTGCATGCCAGCAACATAGCTTTTTAGGGGTGGATATTTTTTAAAATCGGTTATAATCTAGTTTTAGTTTATGTACCTATCCATTACAAGCTGGCATAATATTGGTGTATTCTAGATATATGATAATTAATGACAGTTCCCTTTCTAGCGGAGTCTAGTGAATTCGTAGTTTATTTCTAATCCTATAAACCTATCTATATTTTACAATCTTGGGTACCTAAAAACAATGGAATATTAATATTTTTTACACTACCTACTTACCTAAATATATATGTATGTATAGGCAGTGAAACTATGTAGTTCCACGTCCGTATCCGCGAAAGGATAGGCCGAGATGCATTTATGCACCCACATTTCGCGAGTTTTGTTATTGTTCTACGTAATAGATGGCGATTCTTGCTGTATCGGGAGCATGTCTATCCATGCTGCAAACGAGAATCTACTAACAGAAAAGTGCAATAACACTGCTAGAACCGAGAATAGACTACCTCGTCGGTTGTTTGTTGTTGTTGTCAAACAAAACTTCAAAAGTTCAAAACAGTCAAAGTCAAACGTATGTAAAAGAATAAATGAGCGCTTCCAGCCGCTTAAAAATCTACGAACATTTTGAGTCTCGTTTTAATGTCAAGCGCTTTAAGTGCTCATTGGTTGATTATACATCAAATTGTGCATAGATCCTGATTTGTCAACTTATTAAAATATGGTGGCAGCATTTATTGAAGCTTATCAAATGTATTGATATTACTTTTTAATGTAATTACAAAAATGGGCAGTGTCTGTTTGATTTTAAAAGCTGATGTATTAATCATAAAATATGATAAGAATTATGATATACAAGATATTCTTAGAGGTTCATAGGCTAATTTGGACATTGTCCTTTCCAAAATGGCCAAAGTGGGCGGTGGATACAACTTATATTATCTTTTGATTGTTACAGTACCCAAAACTTCCAAATGTATGGTTGTGTGTAATGTTTGTACCTGGCTAATAGTGTTTATGATAGTGTAATTAATGTTTTTTTTTTAATAAATCAATGTATTATAATAAAGAATTAATGTCTCTATATAAAACTTTAACTGTACCTCGCAATTTCCCTAAAAAGAGTTCTAAAGTATCAATATCATAATACATGTTCAGATCAGAATATCGCTTAATAAAGTATCGAATAACTAAAACGAGTTAGTATTACCGGTTAAGTGTCGGTGTAATATTATTCGGTTTTGGAAGTCGGTTTTCTTTTTTAAATGTACGGCTGAATGAGAAATGAGAAGTTTTCTCATTGCAAACGCCATAATTATACAAGCCTTAACTTTGCAAATTCTACACATATGTGTTTACAAGAATTTTTATTGTATTTATAACAAAATAATACTGGTTTTGGAGGTGCAAATTATGAGGGAGTTAAAGATTAACTGGGACGACATATTTAAGGAGAAGGATGCAGAATTGTGTGTTGATATTTTCTATGAACAAATTTATGCCATCGTTCGAAAGCATGTACCCTCTAAAATCTCTTCTAATTCTAATTTTCCGATGTGGTTTAATTCTTCCTTAAAACATATATTTAATAATAAAAAATCAGCATGGACGAAATGGAAAAAGTATAAAAACCAAGCAGACTACTTAATATTTTGCATATACAGAAATAGATTTAAAAAAGAAGCAAAAAAATGTTATAATCAGTATATGAATAAAATTGAGGATAGCATTAAAGACAACATTAAGTATTTTTTCACTTATATAAGGAGCCGTAAAAACCAGTCTATAATCCCTAAAAATATGGAATATGGTAATATGAAAGCTAATAATCCCTACGATATATGCAAGTTATTCTCCGTTTTCTTTCAGTCCGTTTTTCAGCCGTCAGAGTTATCGAGCTCGTATAACCTCAGCAATATTTATAACTTAGATATAAAAACTCGTTCAGACGACATAATTAGTGACATATTTTTATCGGAAAACAGTATATTAAAAGAACTTAAGTCCTTAGATACCTCTAAAGCTCCAGGCACAGATAATCTCCCATCAGCTTTTTTAAAAATACTGCCTTAACCATATATAAACCTATACATATAATATTTAATAAATGTTTAATTGAGGGTGTGTTTCCAAAAATTTGGAAGTCTGCTAGAGTTACCCCTGTGCATAAGGGAGGCTCAAAAACGGACGTTACCAACTATCGGCCAATCTCTATCTTGAACACCTTGGCAAAAATTTTTGAGAGACTTGTCCATAGTAACTAATATAATCATATACATAGAGTTATACTTCCACAGCAGCATGGTTTTGTCTCTAGACGTTCAACAATTATTAACCTCATGGTGTACACAACTGAATTGTTTCATAATATGGACACTGGCGTGCAGACTGACGCTGTTTATACTGATTTTAAAAAAGCATTTGATCGGGTAGATCACAAAATACTGTTGCAGAAGATTGCTTTTAACGGCATCCGAGGAAACCTTTGGAGATGGTTCAAATCCTATATAAGTAATAGGGCTCAAAAAGTGGTCATAAATGGTCATGAATCTGAAACCGTTACAATTACATCGGGCATTCCTCAGGGCTCAATAATTGGCCCATTGCTTTTCAATATTTTTATAAACGATATCGACGAGTGCTTTGAAAATTGTAGCTTTTTATTATATGCAGACGATCTTAAGCTGTACCGCAAGATAAGAAATACCACGGACCATTACAAAGTTCAGGATGATCTTAATAGGTTGACGGTCTATTGCAGAAATAATAAACTTAGTCTTAGTATAAATAAGTGTAAATTCATGTTTCACTATTAAAAAACTATTAGTAAGCACAATTACTCGTTATGCGGCACAAACCTAGATAGAGTACAGAACATTAGAGATCTCGGTGTTACACTGGACTCTAAACTGACACTGGATTCACATATAGAGAGTATTTGCATGAAAGCATATAAAATGTACGGATTTGTTATGCGTGCTAGTAGTAACTTTAAAAGCTTTTCTACATTTATTCATATATATAAATCCCTCATACGTTCACAACTGGAGTACGCCAAGTGTATTTGGGATCCATTATATAATGTATATTCTGATAGAATTGAAAGGGTACAAAAAAAATTTTTACGTTGCATACATTATAAATGTTACCATAAAAGATTGTCTTATCAAATATTATTGAAACAATATAAATTACTTCCTCTTAAATTTAGAAGACTGCAGCTGCAAGGTTTGTTGCTGTATGACTTCTGTCACAATAAATATGACTGTATCGAAATAATTAATAATATAAGCTACAAAGTTCCCTTTAGACCGCGTGTACGAACCTGTCGAGCTAGTATACTATTCTCTACACCTAGATCACGTACAAACGCCGGCAAACGTACACCAATATTGCGGCTAGCCGACATACATAATAATTATTTTAACGATACAGACATATTTGCAACCAGTGTTGGCTCGTTTAAAACATTAATTACAAACAAATTGAACGAGATCAGCATTGGGCATCTGATTTGAGTATGAGTACATCACGTTTCTTTTCTATTATATTCTATTATACTATTTGTTTAACTCTCAACTTCTGAAATCTACCCGTGGTTGACGGTGTTGGTTTCACAATTAATTATACTTAAATACAAATTATATACTTAGCTATTAAGATTCATTGTGAAACTGTTTGTTAATCCAAATAAAAAAAAAAAAAAAAAAAAAAAACTAGCTTTTGCCCGCGACTTCGACCGCGTGATATATGTATGTAGTTACTTTGGGCAAAATATATTTTCCAAAACGCTGTTGTTTTCGAGCTGATGACGAAATTACCTTGGTGTTTAAGTTCGAAGATACTACAACAAAAAACCAATGAATGTCCAATATGTTTCAGCACCTTATCTTTGTAAACTTTAGATATATTAATCCAATTCAATCTAATTTGAAATACAGATGAAAAAAAAACAGTTATGAAGTTTACACAAAATTTAATCGAAAAGGTAATCTACGCAAAATTCTTCGAAAGAAACGTTATCGCAGATTACTTAAGAATAGACGCCATTTAGTATAGCGAAGCTTAAATTTCTTAATACATTTTATTTTAAAACTCACTACTCTACTATCAATACTTTAAGATTTTAAATGAAATGGAGATATTTGTCAGTTTTATATAGACTGATATGCAGCACTTTACACTATTCATTCTAGAAATTCACGAATAGAAAAATTGTCTCTGGAGTTGTCGGGTAGTCTTAGCAATATGCGGTCGGACATTATCGTGAAGGAAAAATATTTTGTCATGTTGTGGACGCTGACGATGAAGTTGAAGTTTCAGATTATCGATTTGATTACAGTACACGTTCAATGTGATTGTGGTATTGGTAGGAAGAATTTCCCAGTATATTACTCCATGTATTTCCCACTATACCGAGAGCATCACCTTGCGAGTATGAAATTCTTTTTTTTTTGGCGTAGGTTTGCCTGGTTCGTTGCGGTCTAGCTACTGGCGCTTGCATGTGTGGTTAACATATATAATCCACTTCTCGTCCCCAGTGACGAGATGGTTTAGACAGTTAAATGTACGACGAAATTATAATAGATGTACACATATCTCTGCTCGGTAAGCAAGTTGATCCTTGGTCAGTTGATGGGACAACCAAACGCCATATTTGTAAAACTTTCCTAATGCATGGTAATGGTTTTCAATCATAATGAGATCAACCAAGCCCTGACAGCCAAATCACGTGTGCTGCGTCTAGAATCTTCTTCAATTAACGTCTTTAGTTTATTTATATTTGTTTCTACTGGACGCCCAAACCTCGGTTGATATATCAAGGAATAGTCTCCACTGCAAAATTGTTGGAACCACCGCTTTGCGAGGCAACAGCCTCGGAGACTGTGTCATGAGCTAAGCATTGGCATATAATACTTGCAGCTTCTGCAGCGGAATGGCCAGATTGGTACTCATATAATAAACAATGTCGGACACGGGTTTTAATATCATTAATTATTTCGTTGAAGTTAACGGAACGACATTCGAAGTATTACTGACGTGCATGATCAAGACTCGATCTTTATATACCTCCGCCATAGAACGTTCCGAACTCTACTCAAAGTTTCTAGAAAATTAAAATTTAAACGCTCATTACTTATTAGCCAACCCGATATTAACATCTGATATAAATAAATATTTTGGTTACTGTTTGGTTTAATTCCTTTACAATAAATTTACCAGACACCTCTTTTTACAACTAGCATTCGAATTAATTTACTTAAACAAACTAAAAGTTTATTTCCAGTAAATCTTCGAGACGCTATTTGTAATTAAGTCATGTCGCGTGTTGATTCTCGCGTACGTGTATGTCTTGAATAATTTATTGTTAACAAACACCAGAGATAATCTAGAATTTGCAGAGATTTTTTATTCATTTAATTTTTTATATCAAAACAGAAAACGAAACCGACTTACAAGTTTTAAATAACCTTTATATTAAAAAAAAAACATTTCAGGTGTTTCTACTAAATAATTATTCATTTGAACGTAAAGTTAACCTCCGTAATCGTAAACTGAAACAGATATATTCTACTGTTACATGCACGCAGCTATTTACAAATCATGGTATTTTACAGTCAACGGCTGAACTCCGTCGTCAGCTCGGACAGGAGGAGACACCACCACATCCTGTTTATCCCCACTCTGGTTACAGCGGACTACTACCACCTGGTGATGACATTATACCTGTAAGAGACGGAGGTGAGTGCATATTATCTGAAGTGCAAGCTTTACATTAGATGATAAGGAGACTTGATGTTCTAAATGTGTTCGAGATCAAAATTTCATATAATTTAGTAATTACAGATATCACAACTTCAAAAAGAGTTTTCTTTTTTGTCATTTTCACTTGCTATAAGCGGTTAATAGTTTAAATTAATAACTACCTTTAGAAGACCAAAAAAATGAAGACGTTATGCAAGACAGCCTTTCTGTCTATTATGTCCATTAAAACACGAAATTAAGTAATTCCATTTATTAAGCTAGGTAGCCTGCACAATAATAAGACAGAAAAGTGCCAAGTGAACTAACTACCCACATATATTAATCTTATCCGTTAACAAGATAACCTGTTGGTATTTTAATTAAAATATATTTGACATTCATACATAACACTGTCGTAAGAAAAAATGAAATCAAATGTAAAACAAATTGGTTTATTCAGTATCAACCTTTCTATGAATGCAGCTATTCAACCGTGTATCATAAAAATTTACTCTTTGAGAGGCAAGTCAATTATTGGAATGTAATTTAAACATTTAAAAATATATCCAGAACAAAAAGATTGTTTGCAACGATTTGAAAGTAATAAAAAAAAAAACGCTTTCACCGTTGCATTCTTGATAACAAACTCACATACTCCCAAATTCGTCTAAGAAACCAGACATTCAAGGAAACTACACTTGTTAGCAGTTGCTCACGTTAATTTACTGTCTGCCTGCAAACTTTGGCGAGTTGATTAGTAATGAGAGAATGCATGAACAAATTCGGAGTCAGTTTCAGTCATCTTAAAACGTAGTTTTTATTTAATTCTAAAATTCTTGGATTCTGGACATACTATACCAGTATATCATGAATATCGTTTCTAACATTTTCAAAGTCCTATCATTCAATCAATTATTTATTGCATAAAATATGGTGCGGATACAACAGACACATATTTACTGTATAACAGTGTGCAATAGTATGTAAATATTATTAGTTTTAATTTATAATTATTTTTTATTAATCTATATTATAACCTTTTTCATGCATTATACCTTATTATTATTTTATTCGCACGTAATTGACTCAAAACATTTGATACAGTTCCTATTTCATATTATTTCAGTCTTATAATTTAATAACAATAAATAGCAATAATTTTAATAAGTAAATCAATTTGCATGATACATTAACAATAAGTCAAGTATGCTAAATATATAAATCCATGTCAATTATAAAATAATTTTATCATACACATTATAAAATATGTTATTTTATATAATATAGCGTCATTAACTCTTCTAAAATTGTAATTATAAACATTCTAAATATTCCTGTATCGAGTAAAATGATTTCTTAAGAAGCCACTCCGTTAAGGCCTTTTTAAAAATGTTATAAAAATGTAATTAAAAATGTATACAGAGTGCGAGAGATTCCTACGGGCTCATATCACTGGCCGATAAACTCTTTTAGCTTCAGTCTAATTGACTAATGCAAATAAGCACAGCAATTTTCTGCGCTCCGCATATGGCCCTATCGACCAATGAAAATGAGCTTACATTAGTCGATAAACCAATGGCAGTCAATGACCAACTAATAAGCACAGAAATCATCATCACTCCGCATGTGCGCCCTAACGACCAATGAAAATGTGTCTTCTAGGTACCTACATAAAATTATCTTTACAAGCATATTTAGAAGTTTTAAAACACAGCATATTTTTTAAGAGTTCGAATAGAAACATTGCAACTCTTTTAGATTCGTTATATCTGTCTGTCTGTCTGTGCATCCGCCAGCAGTCACAGCCACTTTCTTTAGTAGGTCTGTTATTTAACATTGAAAGGCTGACGATGACAGTGGATTTTTTATTGTACCCAGGTGCTTACGAGAGAGAAGATGGCGCCCGGGAAGCTGTGAAATTCAAACTACGAAATATAGTAAAACAATGGGTGCGTATAATTCAGCGCAAGCTGTCATTCATATTAATATAATTTTCCATAGCTCGATTTCTTTTATATTAAAAATTACAAATTTAATTTTAATTTTACTTAAAATTGTAAATTTCAGCCACAGACTGAGATCGCACAAGACATATTCTTAGTCTTCGGTAATGCAATCGTTCTAAAATTAAAATCAATTTTATAAAGTTTATATGTTTACGGCCTTGGTTTCAACTACTTTGGCCTTACATTAAGAATATTTTTCACTATAATAATAGAAAAGAGGTTTCATATTTATCTTTATTTTTAATTACAGATGGAAAACTACAGACGATCGCAGCAAAACAACGATGACTCTTACATAATCGATAACTTGTAAAATAAAGGAATGTCTCAATATGTTAAATTTAAGTAGGCGAAATATATGAAGTCCAAATGTCCACATGGAAAATAGATTTTATGTTATAATAATGTAAATCATCATCTCAGTTTTTGATTAACACGTGTAATAATGGCTTAAAAATAAAATAAGGCATGACATAGTTCAAAATGTTGCTAAATAATTATGTTTTAAATTTTTATGTCTGTATCTTTTTTTTTTATGAATCAGAGTCGTTTATTTTGTTTTTGTTTTCTTATTGTATTAAAGAATATTGAATAGATATAAGAATCATCTTAAGAGGCTAAAAAGCTATGATATGATTCAAGTTCAGAGATTCAGGAAAGTCTAATATAGTAGAAATCTGTCAATGATTTACTAAATGAAATTGTTTCTTAAAAACTTTTCTACGAATTTATATTTCTTTTCAAATAATAATTTAAGTATTTCTTGTCAATTAAATTGTAGAAATAACGAAAGAAGAACATAGTCTCTAATTTGAAAAAGGAATATTTAAGTCTGTGCATAAATCAAATGTTCTGTATATGAAGTCGATATATTTTACTCAAGGCTGGTTTAATCTGACTAGGATTATAAACTCTACTTACTTCATGTATTTTACAAAAATTTTATACAAATAGATTCTGCTATCTTGTTCCCTTACTTCAGTACCTGACTGTATTAAAAGTTTAAGTGAATTGTTATGGCTTCATGTTAGATTTTGACATAAGGTTACCATCATTATACATATTATGATAATGCATCGTAGTTGACTGTCACTGTTATAAAATACTATCTATGGATATGTTTTCCTAATAAATAAATGGTTAGTACAACAATATTGCAGTTGTGGTTTTTATTTGAATTCGATAAACTGAATACGCTAATAACTGAATCAGATTATTATAAAAAATAAATGCCTCAATTAATTTTGTATTTAAAAAATCTATAGATGAACTTGAAAATCGATTGGATTCGCTTTTGTAGTAAGCTGGCTTGTTGTCGACTGTAAATAACGTCTACTTTTAAATTTTATAATTTCTTCAAACCGACACATAATCTCCCATCTCAGACTGTCAGGGACAAATTGGATATTTAAGCATTTTTCATTATGAAAACTTTTCAGTATAGCATAGATAATAGTATGGAGAATAATTGAGTGCCTGGAATTAAGATTGAAATTAGCACTTCTTGAAAAATATTTGATTTGCCTGGTTTTCAACTCAACGATACGATAGAAATGTATCTTTGAAATCCTCAATAGTTTTTGTAGAATTCGATCAAAGATTTCTAAGAAAATTAAGAAACATGGTAACGAGCACAAGTTGTTACAGTATTAGCCCCAATATTATTGGTAAATAAAAAACCAACGGGTATTAAGGTTTGCGAACGAATAGAACCTCTTTAATCTAATACTATTTGTTTAGTAATGAGCAATTTTTTGCAAAGCGGGTCGGATTATTTCCAATATTCTTTGAGCGATATTTTTTAACTAGTTAAAGGAAAAAACGTAAGTGAATAAATGGTACGGTCATCTGAGACATAGCGAATCTATTTTCCTCTATTATGAATATTGTACGAGTATAGGGAATTGGGCAATTATAAAAAAATCCACATTGGGCCAGCGTGGAGGGTCATGGTCCATCCTCCTTAACCACCCGTAAGGAAGACCTGAGCCCCTGCAGTGGGGACGTAAAAGGGCTGGTAATGATGATGATGATGATGATGATATGGATTTGTCACAGAATATTTATGACTAGGCAACCAGCGTATTAATCAGCAAACAAAAAAATATCTCTTTTCTTATTTGTTTCCAATAAGACTTATATGTATGAGATTAAAAACAATAACACCCATTTTCATTAACCTAGAACAAGGCATAGCTAAATATTTAGGCGACCGATTTGGCGAATTTGTAAGTTTATATTTTGAAATGTGTCGTGACAAAATTAAGGTCCATTTCTTTCTTGTCCCCGTTTACCCCTAACGTGTGACGTAGTTCATGGATATCTCTTTAAGCTGGATGCAGGTTGCAGATGTAATCCGATATTTATAGAAATGCATAGCAAGATAAACCCACGAGGGACTCGGTTTATGCAACAGCTTTTGTATCACTCTTAATTATTTATTATGTTGGGGTAGTAAGATATACGATGATGGAGTATAGACCATATTTATTAAATATCTGTTTTCCCGCGACTTCATCCGCGTATGATGTAGCGTCCCATAGGAAAAATAATATCACGACTGAATCACTATTTCCTTAACTTTGTCTGTTTATAGGGATATAAGCAAACTAAGTTAGAAACTTTACCTTTTAACACTTCATTTTTTGTTTGTAATAAATTACAATAAAATTCTGAAACTACTGAATCGATATTAAACATTCTTTTAATAATGTAAACATTCTTTTAATAATGAGTAGCTCGGTGGCGTAGTGGATTAGCGCCGCGGCCTGTGATCGTAGTCGTTAAGCAACTTTCGCAAGGGTCGGTCACGGGATGGGTGACCAAAAAATTATTATCTCGAGCTACTCCGTGCTTCGGAAGGCACGTTAAGCCATTGGTCCCGGCTGCATTTGCAGTCGTTAATACCCTCCAATCCGCATTGGGCCAGCGTGGAGGGTCATGGCCCATCCTCCTTAACCATCCATAAGGAAGGCCTGAGCCCCTTCAGTGGGGACGTAAAAGGGCTGATGATGTTGATAATGTAAAGCTACATAAGCGAATAATTTTTTATTAGCTTACTACTTACTAATATTAAAAACATGAAAGTGATTCTGTTTCTCAGTCTGTTACAGTTTCTCTCCTAAACTACAGAACCAATTTCAACAAAAGTTATAGATTATTCATCACGTCTTTCTTTCTAAAAAACTAGTAATTTGTAAGCTAGTACCCATTTAGAACTTCATAATTAATTGTAATAATATAAATAGTCCCAGTAAAACATATTTAAACATTGTGTTCTATTAAAATTAATGTTTCTATTTGTTCCACCATTTTGACCGATGCCAATCTAGAGGTCGTCTTAATAGACTATTTCAGTGTTGCGGTTGACTGATCAGTGGGACAATGGATTGTAAATGAATTGTTTTTAGTTGGACCAAAATACGTTTGTTGGACTTTTGGAAACGGTGGGTATTCTTAGATAGTTAGGTAACCGCATATTTTTTAAAGATCTTCATAGCTTCATTTAAAAAATAGAGGTGTGAAATCACAATCAATGCAATGAAATACTAAGCTTAATCCTGTGGCTTAAAAAAACTAATGCCAATGTTGTTATATAATAAGTTCTAATAGGAATGACTACGGTAAAAAAATAAATTCTATTTATTCAGTTATCATCATCATCAGCCCTTTTACGTCCCCACTGCAGGGGCTCAGGCCTTCCATAAGGATGGTTAAGGAGGATGGGCCATGATCCTCCACGCTGGCCCAATGCGGATTGGAGGGTATTAACGACTGTAAATGCAACCGGGACCAACGGCTTGACGTGCCTTCCGAAGTACGAAGTAGCTCGAGATTATAATTTTTTGGTCACCCATCCCGTTACCGACCCTGGCGAAAGTTGCTTAATGCGACTTTTGCGTAATGGATGCCATCACATCAACCATGAGTACTCAAGGGGGCGCGATTTAACAAAAGAATTTTGCCTGTATCGATAATTAAAATTAGTTATGGACGGATTGCTGGTGTTCCTTCCTCGATTGCTATGCTATTTCCCATTTCGAGAAGGTCGATGGCGCACGCTGTGGTTAGCGTGCTCTGTTTACGATACGTTTGAGTAAACAACTTTCGCAATGACCTATCATAGGATTGATGATCAAAAATTTATTATCTCGTAATCCTCTGTGCTTCGGGAGGCACGTTAAGCTGTTGTTCCCGGCTGCAGCTGCTGCCGTTAATACAGATCCACACTGGGTCAGCGTAGCGGGTCATGCATTGGCCCATTTTCCATATTCAATTTCAATCATAGCGAAGGCATGAGCCCCAGCAGTGGGGACATAGGCTGATGATAATGATGATGAAGTTGCAACCGAATCTTATGGCGTCAGGTTCAATTTTTTGTCGGGTCAAGTTTAATTATTTATAGAAAATTAAAAGTGACCCAGTGGAGTAGCTCGGTGGCGTAGTGGATAAGTGCCTCGGCCCGCAATCGTTGTTGTTAATCAACTTTCGCAAGGGTCAATCATGGGATGGGTGACCTAAAAGTTATTATATCAAGCTATTCCGTGCTTCGGAAGGCATGTTAAGCCGTTGGTTCTGGCTGCATTTGCAGTCGTTAATACCCTTCAATCCGCATTGGGCCATCGTGGAGGATCATGGCCCATCCTCCTTTACCATCCATAAGGAAGGCCTGGGCCCTTGCAGTGGGGACGTTAAAGGGCTGGTGTGTGGTGTGGAGAACGAGCATACTTCAACATTCAAAAAATGTGCTCGTTCTAAATAAGTTTAAATCAGTTTTTTTTTCAGTCATAATGAGTTGAATAATTACTAGTTTATTTTTGTGAAAGAAACGTAAATAAGTTTTGTATGTCGCTTTGTTTTTCTGGATGTATTTAAAGAAAAAGAAGTTTTTCTTTAACAGTTCAGCTTTGCAGCAGTTCAGCTTTGCTTTGGAAATTACTTTATTATTTTAGGAAAAGTGAAATTGGTTTTATAATATTCTAAATTATTAATATAATATTGATATCGAGTACCAAATTTAAATAATATTCTGTCCCAGTACCGTTGACGGACGTATTATATCCACATTGGTTAAATACTTGATAGAAATGTTATATTAGTCAAACAGGTTCATAAATAGCTAATAATAGTGCTAAATATAATTTCTAGTCTGTCTATTTCTGTTATCAGATCTCCTAATAACAGAACGGAAATAATAACTGGTTCTGTTCTATTTTACGATTACACAGAGAAGATATTATTAATAATTTTATATACGTATTATTTAATTTTAATGTACAATCAACATCGCATTGGATTATACGAAGGTGTTAAATTTCTCCAGCTTTAATTTATTAGTAGTTTAAGAAATTAGGTGTACAAAATTAGCTAAATATTGGGCGAGTCTTAAGCAAGATTACATGTCTTCATGCTTTTGATAAACTTTTAGTCATTGGTTCACGAGAAATGAAATGAGCTCTAGAGGTCTCTCGCACTCTACATGCGGACTTCATCGACAAATGTAAATGAGCCCTATAGGAAGAATAATAAATATTACGGAGATATGTGAAAAAAGTGAGACAAAATAAATAGAAATAAAACTGCGGAATTCATATCAGTTCTAATAGCACGCAATTTTTTTCGTGTTGATTAAACAATCAAAAAACTACAGAAAACGTCAGTCCGACTTAAATGTTTCTTGAAAAATTCAACCGCTTTTATGATAATTATTCTTGTACCCTTTTTTTTCAAGTTTCAAGTCGGTTCTATTTTTTGAATATTTCTTTTTTATATTACGAAATATTTTAGATAAAAAAATCTTTTGTGTTCGATACGGATTTGAATTACAATACGATGATTTTTCGCGCAAAAGGTACTGTGAGACCATCTATTTATTTATTAGATAACACAACAAGCATTAATAAAACAATTAATAGGTATAATAAGTAATTATTGTATCGTACTAAGTAATTATTGTATATTAATACCGTAAAGGTATACCGTAAAATTCAATTCAATAAAGGAGATATATATATATATGGAATTTGTGTCCACTACGATTTCCTTAATACTTTTTACTAGTTATAGGATTTAGAGAGATTGGCATTAATAATGTCTAATACCTGATTAACTTGGACGATCTTATAATAGGGGAGCCGAAGCGGGGATTTCGGGATTTACT